CCCCAAAAAACAGCCTTTCAGCAGATGTGCAGTTGAGAAAAGCTGACCTCTCTCCATTTTAAATCATACAATATGGGCTCTGGCAGTAAACATGAGGAGAGGTATTGATGGATTTATTTCTGTCCTTCCACTCAGAGATTGCATTACCTGGTGCACATCAATAAGAAGCCTCATTCCCAAACCATACCTGAATAGAAACACATAATTAAATAAAACCACCTAAAGCTAGCTTGTGTACATTATATACTGTACATACATGTATTTAAGTTCCAGATAATGTTGCCCAAAGCAAGCCGTGTTCCACATAAACACATGCAGTGTGTGTCCAAGTATTTGTCATGCACTGAAAAAAGGAAAAAACAAGCAGAATACTATGGAACCTGAGACACCTGTCAAGTGTTTGGCAAAGAGAATAAGGAATGCATGGGTATGCGCTCCAGGGCAAGCATGCAACGCACGCACACACACACACACACACACACACACAATGGAGTTATGAGAAGTTGCTTTAGTGGCTGGACCCCTCCGTGACTCAAGTATTGATTCAAAGCTTGAGAGAGGATGACATAAATGTGAGCAACACTCATAGTAAACAAACTGGAAAACAAGGCCTGGTTTGTCATTACTTATGACATTAATTATTTATGTTATTAGCATTCCATTAATAGCATTACAATTAATTATGTGATTAACATTCAACTCATGCAGCATATTTGAGCTGTGTGTGTGTGTGTTTGTTAGGGCTGTAAGGCACTGCTACTATCTGTATGTGTATCTGTGTACTTAGTGTTATATTTAGTGTTCTTACTATTTGTAATCTGTATTCGGATTTAAACTGGATTTGGGCATGGTCTATACATGGTCTATACATATCAAAAGAAATCACCATTATTAAAAGAAAATCTTCCCAGAAAATCATACAGGCATTATAAGAAAATGGCATGTAAAGGAGCAATAGTTGATGTTTTTATTTCTTACTTTTACAAATAACCTGGAAAACACCTCAGCACAAGAGTATTATGTGGCTGAGAAAACCTGTTTGGAAAACTGCCAAATGTTATAGACACTCAACAATGCCCCTTCTCTCTGCCCCATCTCAGTCTGGCTGAAATCAGAAATTATGGCTGAAATCAGCAAGCATGCAACACAGCCAGACAATTTTCCTGTGAGCAAAAAAAAAAAACATGTTGTGCTTAGAAAAAATTTTATGGAAAAAAAAAATCACAGTAAAACCAAAATAAACATTGGAGACGCTTTAGCAAACATGGAATAATTTATTACTGTTGAAGGGGATGAAGGTGGACATTAGATACAATGGATATAAGAAGTCTACACACCTCTGTTAAAATGGCGGGTTTTTGTAAAGTAAAAAAAATGAAACTAAGATCAATCACGTCAGAACTTTTTTAAAAAATTAAGTGAAAAACAATCAGAAACATTTTAGGAAAAAAAGAGGCAATAATCTAGTTGCATAAGTGTGCACACACCCAAACTAATACTTTGTTGAAGCACCTTTTGATTTTATTATACGACACAGTCTTTTAGGCTAAGAGTCTATCAGCATGGCACATCTTGACTTAACAATATTTTCGCACTCGTTCTTCCAAAAAATTGTGAGGGCTTCTCCTGTGCACAGCCTGCTTCAGGTCACCCCACAGATTTTTAGTTGGGTTCAGGTCTGGGCTCTGGCTAGGTCATTCAGAAACATTGATCTTCTTTTGGTTAAGCCACTTCTTTGTTGATTTGGATGTATGTTTTGGGTCAGTGTTGTGCTGAACGGTGAAATTCCTTGAGCTTTTATCAACTTCCCTCCACCTTGATAAAAGTCCCAGTTCTGGCTGAAGCAAAGCAGCACTAAAGCATGATGCTGCCACCACCATGCTTCACCATGAGTATGGTGTTCTTTAAGCTGTAAGCTCTTTGCAGACCATGGCTTCAGCAGTCGGATAAAACCAAGAAGATGTCAAGAAAATCCTACAGAAATGGCTGGTCTTGGTTCATTCTGAACACAGTCACATCCCCAATTATAAAAGGATGTGCATACTTATGCAACCAGGTTACTGTAACTTTTTTTATTTTTCCTAATTTTCCCTAAAATGTTTCTGATTGTTTTTCATTTCATTTTTATTCATTGTAATTTCACACTGAGGGTGGAAAAAGACGATTTATCTTAGTTTACTTTTTTACTTCACAAAAACCTGCCATTTTAACAGGGGTGTGTAGACTTTTTATATCCACTGTATATTGCTACTGGACAGGTATGTAAACCCAATTAATATAAAGCTTTGAACCGTTTGAATGTGCTGCTTTACATAATGAATCAAGTAAATGTCTTTTTTTTATTGCAAATAAAAACAAGACAACAAAGGCACACTTGACAATTCTCATGAATCAAGCTGAATGTCATGTGTTTATTGTGTTATAATACAATACATTGCTAAAGGTAACTGTAGTTAGCATGCTAACTCTAGTTGAACTCTACGAGCCAGGTTCTGGGCCGGAGCTTTGTGAACATGGGCAGAAATAGAGGAGTGAAAGGAGTGAAAAAAATCATTCAAATGTTCTTGAACTCAACTACTTAACCCTTAGAGACTTAATCTTGACAAATTTCAGCAAATCTTGCATAATGCATAAATTTTACTATATAATAGTGCAAACATGTGCATACTAATGTTTTACATGATGTTATAGAAACCACTGTTCATGTCATTACTATGTGCTCAACTCACCTGGCACAAAATACTTTTGACATTTTGGTGGCATTTAGCCACTGAAATAAATAGATACTCATTAAAGGGGCATCTCTGTATAAAACCTGTATTTAGTGTGTGTTATTGTCATAAATCTGTAGCCCAGAATGTTTGGCAGAATTCGCAATCACACAACCGTTGCGATTTAAGGCATTAAGGAATTTAGTGGAGCTTAAGTAGGAACTAGTGTGTAGGACCTGGATTCAGAGATTTGGCAGCAACTGTAGTCCTTCAGAGTGTACT